ACCTTGACAAATCGACCTATTGTGATGGCATAAAAAAGCTAGAACATCGCTGGAATAAGTGCATTGCTAACAAAGGAGCCTACATTAAAAAATAAAAAAAGTTTTAACATTATTTTGTTTGTTGTTCTATTTGAGGCTGCGAACTTTCCGAACAGCCCTCGTATAACCTGATGTAGACCTCGACTGAGGCCGAAAACGTTTGTTTTATGAATGGTTAAGAAGTACCGGACAATAAATGTAAACGAGTGAGTACAAGATTAGTCAAAATACCTGTATTTGGAACAGAAGAGTTGGGATTTATGTTATCTGCCAATAATCTGCATTTTTACCTCTAGTTGCTGTAGAATTTTAGAGGTGGTATTTTTGGACCGGGGTTTGAGAGAAAGCATTTAATGGTTGGGACAGTTAAAACACACATACGAGAAAGCAAATCAGAGCTTAGATAGCAACAGACTTGTTTACAGTTTGTAAGAAATGCTTCTTTCCTGAAAAATTCCTAAAACATAAGACACTTTTGTTTTTGTTATAAATAAATAAAAACAATATATTTTGAGTAGTTTTGTTGATTAAGACATCAAAAAAAACATTCCCACAAACATCCTAACATGAAAAAACCGCAAAAAAACTATGACTTTTACAAAATAGATTTTTGAAACTGAGATACTGTTAATCCCCACGTGCCTAACTCTGCAAGAGGGAGCTGATGTGTCTAACCACCTGTTAAATCTATTATTTAAAAGAAAAATGGTGAACCAAAACAGGAAACAAATTTAAATATCAAAAGATAACTTTTCTTCTTTCCAGCAACAAAATTTAATAAATTGAAAAACATTTCAGCCTGACTTATAGCCAACATCAGTCTAAAGACAAACTCAATGTACATTGTGTTCTACTTTGAAAAATGCTTTTTGCTGGAAAGAAGAAAAGGTTACTTTTGATATTTCAAATATGTTATCTAATTTAATCTAGCATACTAACTCATTCAAGGTCACTTGCTTTGACTAGGAAAACTACATTTTCTATAAGTATGTTATTGTATTATTTTGTCATCACATTAAAAATTAGGAAAAAACTGGCATTTTCTGAAAATAATTATATGCAGGAAAATACATTTTCAATTAAAAAAACTGAAGTCTGACAATCTTCTGAAAAAATAAGATCTACAAGTAACCTTAGTAATAATGTACTTTATTCATTTCTGAATCAAATGAATAGAATAATTGAATTTGAATTACCAGTAAGAATACTATTAAAAGTAGTATTTGTAATGCAGCCTTTTAATTCAATTATCTAACGTTTTTGACCAGTTTGAAAGGCCTTCATCAGGAACATTACAATCGAATGATTGATTTTTAAATAAACATTTGTTCTGGAACATTTTAAATTATATGTCTGGTGTGCAAGCTCATATATAAATAAATACAATCTCTAATGGTACTTGTAAGAATACACACAATATATATTAGCTGTTACCTGCAACTTCACCCGTGTGGATTTTGCAAGCAAACCCCATTTATATTAAGTATTTCAACAACCATAGTAATTGTTATATAACAACTACCACTGAGAACGATGAGAATTGCTGAGAATCAAATGAACTATTTTCAATTTGATCAATTTTCTGGAACGTTTACAATCGTTCTATAATTGAACCAATATNTCTTATTCTAACTTAGAACTATTCCCCTTGGAATTCCGACAAAAATCAATCCTTAACTTAAGGTACAGAATTTCTTACAACTATAAATCCTAACCGTCACCTCAATTATACTAGGAACCTTTTTCCAACTCAAGACTTTCCTATTCCTTAATCCACAAATTGAAAACTGCAAACGCTTTTGACTATTTCCTATTGGACAGCTCGTTCACTGCTACCAGCAGACTACGCTTAATCCTTTCAGGAGCTCACCTTTGCTTTCTTCACTTGAGCTACGCTATTTGTAGTCTGAGGTGACGTCACAGTTTCTAAGGGAGACACTCCCCTCATTTACATACTTATACGTAACATTCACTTTTTTCTTGTTTATCTGGTAGCTTAATTCCCGACAATATTTTGTTAACCTTTTACAGTCTTTTTGTGAACAATTATCGGGATGTTTCCTTTAAGGTTTAACAAGTTTCCTAAAACTCTGTGGGGTCTTTCCCCCCTTTCAGTGCGGGCTTACTATATGCCGCTGGGGCGTGCACGTGAGTGCAGTTGCTAGCTATGGCGCTTTCTTTTTTTCGTCGGTGAGTTGGTTTTATCTTCTCTTTTTAACTTTCTAAGGTGACGGGTGAGGAAACCTTCGTCTTAACTAAACATAAGCCCCAAACAAAATATAATAAAAGCAAAAGAAAAGCAAAGTAAAAATAACACTCGGACTTGGTTCCTTACACCTACTTCCTATGGCATCCATGATGTTATATTTTTCCCAAAATTGCACAAAACAAACATGGATTTTAGGAAAGTATAGTGCTACGACAAATTGCCACCTTTTGCCAATTGGTTTGTGTTTGGGAATAATTGTATTATATAGGAATCAATGAAAAGCCGCATTATTTTGAGCGTTTTTTTAGGCGTAAAGAAGACCGCGTTATATTGAATCAGCGTTAAGCGGGGTCTTACTGTACTAATCTAAATGTTTATTTGCTCTGATTGATTTTATTTTTAGTTTGGTATCATTTAAATATGAAGCTTTTTATTTTTGCTGTATCAGGAATATGACTTCAGTGGGTTAAACAAATATTATGTTTAACTAACTTTTATATTATGACAATTGAATTTGTTTTGAAATTTGAAATATATATATATATATATTTCAATTTTTGATGTTTCGAAAATTTCAATTTTCATGTTGTACGAGGGTTGTACCCATTTCTCGAACAGTGTCAGAGTGAATCCGTGCTATAAAAGTACTGTGTTATACGGGGGATGGTACCAAGTCTCGAACCATGTTAGAGTGAATCCGTGCTATAGAAGTGCCGTGTTATACGGGGGTTACCTGTATATATTTCCTATATTATGTTATATTATGACAATTGAATTTGTTTTGAAATTTGAAATATATATATATATATATTTGAATTTGTTTATACAACTTTAATTTTGTAAACTTTGTATAAACTTTGTTTATACAACTTTTATTTAACTTTAAAACAAATTATATTTGTTTGAATTATACAATTGAATTTGTTT